CAGATTCATTGTTTACACAAGTTACTAACAATATTTCAGAAATTTCTTGAAATATCTCAAATTTCACTAAGTCAGTCAGTCAGGTGCAACGTAGAACTACGTACGTATGTACATAAGTTCATGTTGCCATACCACATTATTAGCACAGAGACGCAGATGTCAAATCAAATCCCATAGTGATAAAGATAGTAAAGGTATTACTGGTAATGAAGAAGATTAGGGTTCGAAGATATTATTCAACAAGTATAATAATTCAGTGAGATAAAGTTAGAAAGACAAAGGTAGATGCGCTGACGAATCCAGAAGATTAGGATTTGAGAGAGCACAACGAATGGATGCACTTGCGCCATTGTAAACGATTTTTAGCCATGTCGTTCAAGGTCTCTAACCATTGGTGACTTTCATCTCGCGGACCCCAACCAGGTAGTGTACATCTACCAACATGACTCAGTCCACTTGTCAGGGACTTCATGGATTTCTGCCGTGTTTTGGTCTGGTCGCCCCTAACTTTCTTACAACCTACTCCTACACCTCAAAACAAAGCTCGTCGAGGCAGTCGGTGGTTAGACATAAGTAACACATGTCCCAGCCACCTCAACTGATGAAGCTTCACCACTTCACCAAAAGTTTGTATGTTCTAATGCGACAGACTATATTCGTGGATAGAACAAAACTCAATAAACAAAAGTTAACTGATTGTTTTGTTGAAATATAAGAAATCGGGTTCGAACAAGTGATTTTGAAACGATGAGAAATATATTAATTTTTCTGAGTGGTGTTGGAGAATTCGTTTGATAAATGTCTTAATTTTGGATTTTATTCATGGGTTGACCAGTCGACCTTGAGATCACATTTTTCGCCAGGAAAATCCTTGACTGTAATTGGTCGGTGTGTTATTTTGTGACTCTTTCAAGGACATTTTTAAGATTTGTGTGCTATTATCGATTTCTCTTCTACACTAACTGAATAATATAGAATGCTTTCTAGTGAGTTAAGTACAATAATATCTAGTCTATATACTATCGTTCTTTGATTTTTGTCACGAATCGTGTATCTGGCATAGCTTAGTTCCAGTTTGTGTAGAGTGTATCGATCAATTATGCAGCTTAATGGAAGCAGCATAATATCTAGGTCACGAGTGCTATTGTGGTGTGTGCTACTTATACGAACGATATAAGTAGTATAAGAAGGGACGTGAAAGAAGAAGTCTCACGGTCACAAGAGGAAAACGGAAAGCAAATGGAGCAAAAGCAAGAAGTAAATGGAGTACCGACAGGAAGTAAAGGAAGCAACAACAGGAATGGAAGAAGGATGGAGCGTTGGAAGTCACGACTCAATTATGGTGTGCAAATAGAGTGTTCAATGTAATGTTTTCGTTTTTAATTGACTAAGAGTGTAAATTAGCCAAGTACAATCTATCGTGCCTGCCTCAGTCTTCTCAGAATGTTGTGGTCATAAGAAATATCTTTGTAAGCACATTATATTAGGAAATTTGCCAATCCATTTTACCTTACTATTTCTAAAAATAAATACAAATGTGATAATCTGAGTAGGATGAATATTGTTCTGGTTAGTTTATCGTACGTAATATCTCTCTATTAGTCGAAAAGTGAGATATAAATCAGAAATAGAGTTTTTGCTTCCGATTAGCTTAGCTGCAGTTCCAAAAAAACTAGATGAGCACTTACCAGAAGATATTAGAGAGTTGTTTTTGTAGTTTTTTCCCTCGTTAAAAATCTTTACATGAGCGCATCAATGAAGTCCTGAAGTCGTTTGTATACTTTCTTTCAAACCCGTTATATAAAACCACCTTTTCCAAATACTCACAGGATCATTTTTAGGAGCATCGTTGTTGTTACTCACCCATTTATATAGTCAGAAACTTTCGAAATCTACCAGTCGTTAAATCGGAAGCCGCAAAAAGTGTCTCTGTGAAAACGGGACAATCGTCAACGTTTTTTTTCGTCGAATAAACTGTGGTTATCTATGGCCGCATGTCATAAGGCGAAAATATAACCCCAAAGGTGTGTACATTTAATTTATGGATATCAAGAGGGGAGTCAAGTTTATCTTCGGGGTATCAAAAAAACTGAATATCTTTCTATACTCTTCAGGCAGATGTACTAGAAAGAATATCGCTTCAGTATTTGCTGACGCTCACATCTTATGTTACACAAAACTGAGTAAAACTCCTACTAAATCATTTATAGAATCTGGTCTGGAGTGCATTCAACTATTCAGAGACCTATCTTGCGATTCAGCAACATAGTCGAACACTACTATATGAAGTTATTCCTCATTTTCTAGAGTGCAACATAGAATGGTGTAGAATGAATGCATTTAAACAAAGATCAAAGAAATATAAGAAAATGGGAAAAATGATGCAAGTGTTGAGAGAAAGCAATATTATTAGCAATACGATTGTCTACTGAATATTAACAAGTAGTAAAAAACGGCAAACAAACGGTGACGGAATTCAAATGAACTAAACGAGTACTATGAAAGTGTTAAGTGGACAGTGGGGTGTTACAATGCATGAAGTCCTCCAATCCTACCAACCAGGTGGATGTGGAAAAAGATTTTAAAATTAACAGGAAGATTTAAATTGTAAAGGATAACAATTAGATATACAAATGAATGGTATACATACATTGGTCATTAGACAATAACAAGTAGGCTGAGTCATTGTTGACAGAGAGTGCAATTAACTATTTCGTATATATAACATGTCTTGTCTCTAGTATCTCATTCACTAACTGACTTTCCGATGTCTTAAAAGTACCGATAGGTGATTACATCAGCTTCGATCAACTTCCTAATTCAGAAAAGTATATCCTCCATTAAGGAGTACATTAGAATAGCATATGATAGGAAGGTCTGGACGCCTGTGACACGCTGAGGAGCATAGGCCGCCGATAAGCATTCTTCAGCTGACGGTGTCCTGAGCCCTCCTTTCCATATATTCTGACTTTGATGTTAGCTGACAGTTGTTTTGAGTTTAAGATGTTTTTCAATCATAGAAATGCTGCCCTTGTTTTGCTAATCCATATCTTAACATCTGCGTCAGATCCACCTTGCTCACCAATGATCCTGCACAGGTATGTAAAAGTTACCACATCTTCCCCATCAAGTGTGATTTGGCTGGTGCTAGCTGTCTTGTATCGGAGGATATTGACTTTTCTTTTATGTGTATTGAGACCTATTGCTGCAGAGGCTGCTGGTGCACCGATCCGTCTTGTCTTGCATTTATTGTTGCGTGTGGGATTATAAGGGCTAGATCATCTGCGAATCCTAAGTTGTTCAACTGTATCCCAGATTTCCACTGTATTCCGTGCTTCCCCTCACATGTTGACGTCTTCATAATCCAATCGACCATCAGAAGAAAGAGAAAGGCTGAAAGTAAGCAACTTTGTATGACACCAGTCTTTGTATTATCCTGGGTCAATGAGATTTCTACCTAATAAGCGCTTTTCGTGTTACTTCGCAAAGCAACTAGCACAACCCCCTTGCGTCTATGGGGCATTTTCTTCTTCTACCAGAAGACAACAGGGTCTTTACCGAAGATAGTCTTTTCTGCCGAGCTTGAGTTAAATAATGAGTTTCAATTATTCCGATCATCGTCGGGTTGTATCTTCTCCTATGGCTCACCCGGTCTCTCACATTGTGCAAACATTCTATGTACCTGTATTGATCCATGCTACGATTGGGAAGGAAAGGAATATACCATCCACCAATATCACCTTCAACATGTGCATTATTAGGATATTTATATTCTGCTTTACATTTACTTACCAGTTTCGTGAGTATTACATAAATTCGAACAGTTTTCCAGCGACATTTATGCATCTACCTAGACAATTTTTTTTCTCGACTATCACCACATTATTGAGCAGTTTTAAAAATGTATAGATACATTAAAGTAGCAACTAATTAATTGTGTATTCAGCTTTGAGCCACACTTGCTCGACTGTAGTAGCTGCTACCTTGACGTGGTGGTCGGGCTTGCCCATCGTGATGACCAATCCGAGCTCTATTGACAGGTTCTACCATGCCAGGTAGGTTGATTGATGAACGATGCGACTAAAAACAGCTAATCAACGTCTGAAAGTGAAGTCGGACTTCTGATTGTATAGGGGGCTTGACAGCAGTAAGTTGTTTCCCTCGAACAACCATCATCTGCAGTGATGCTGCCTTCTCACAAGGGAGGTTAGGGTTAGAAAAGGTCGACCCTAAAAATGTTGAGTTTACTGACTAAGTCCTTCCACTCATTTAGATCATCTGATGATTTGCTTATATATATATATATATATATATATATATATATATATATATATATATATATATATATATATATATATATCATAACTCAATTGGACATAACAAAGCTTATGAAAATTGTTATCCCCCACTCTCATACACTAAAAATCAGTCAATCTATCTATGAGATGTAGCTTAACGGAACGAATCATTACAATTTATTCTTTCTTGGAAAAGTAGACCTTGGATCAATATATATTAATCAGTTCACATGTCTCACTTTCACACACACACACACACACACACACACAAATAATGACAAGCTTCGTGAGTAAATTCTCGGAGTTCTAGTTGAGAAGACGTGATCAATGGAGCTCAACCCTGTCGGGTGTAGGCAGTAACTACCAAAGACAAATAATGGGTGAGGTCGCGCAAAATCCCTAGATCAATCAGAGTTAGACATTAACACCGTTGGATGCTGGCCAGTCCAGTGGTCCGATGATTAGGCGTTCGCGAACAATACCGAAAGTCCCGGGTTCGAATCCTGCGAGGTGCAGGAGTCGTGGATGCGCACTGTCGCTGACGAGTCCCATACCAGGATGAAACGACCGTCCAGCGTTTCCAAGTTTCTATTGGTGGTCTAACAACGATTGATTGATTGATGATTTCAAATGTGAGCAAAACACAAACCTCCAAAACTCTGCCCCAAAATAATGATAAACCGAAATTTTATAAGAAGTGATAATTTATTCAATCCTATTGACAAATAAGACATGATGATATGCAGAAAGAAAGAAATATATACTGAAAAAAACCCACACTCATTAGTTAAAACAATATCGTGTGATAGATAAGGTTTAGTGTATATATATCAAGTTAGACAAGACAATTTAAAAACAATTGAAAATATGAAATACAAAAATTTTGGAACATAATCTAATCCCACATGAGTAGAAATAAATAAATATATATATATATTAAATTGAAAAAGAAACCAGGGGGGTTTTATTCAATGATCAATGAAGGTCATCATCATTCATCATTCAATCCACATTTTAAATTCAATGGAATAGCACGTTGAATTTGTTTCGGTGGCGGGAGATTTAATTCATTCATTAGTTTAATAAATTCACTTTTACTTTTCGTTAATCTGAAGAAAATGAATATCGAGAAAAATGAAAATGAAAATGAAAATGAAAATAGTTTGAGAAAATGATTTGCACTTGGGTTTGATTAAATTTTATTGACAATTGAAGCAATAAATCGATCATGGGGATTAAAGCGGATATTTAAATTCCATAGTCAGAGAGAAATGAATAAATACATTTTTAATCAGTTGTCATATGCGTGTTATAAAAAATGTAAGGCGTAGACGAATAAGTTGAATAAGTTTCAGAATATAAGGCAATAGATTTTCATGAATTCGAGATGATTACTACTTGTGTAGTTATTCTTTTCATGTCTGCTTAAAAATCGGTTTTCCTCTTTTGCTTTTACATTGAGGATTCCAAGTGAGGGCTTGTGACGTCGCAGTTGGATGCGTTTCGCAATGTACGTCTTATCCACCTCCATCACTTTTTCCTAATTGCTTCCTTTGCTGGAATCTGGTTTGCTCTTATACCAACCACAGTAGGTTGTCACTGATGTGTCTGGCCAACTGATCTTCAAGTATGTTGTGTAGACAACTGTTGCTAAACACTTGTATCTTCCGGATGGTGGTTTTTGTAGTTCTTCTCCAAAAGTTCCTGCCCTACTACACAGCAGAACAGTCTTGACATTTGTTTTGAAAATTCTGACTTTAGTGGTTTCAGAGTCCTTCACTTGCAGTAATGCTTCCCTTCATATCTTTATATCTGCGTCTAATCCACCTTGCTCACCAACGATGCTGCCCAGATATGTAAAAGTTTCGACATCCTCCAAAGCTTTTCCATCAAGTGTGCTTTGGTTGGTGCATGTTGTGTTGCAGCGGAGGATCTTGAATTTTTTTTCCTTTATGTACAATGAGACCTACTGCTTCACTATCCGTCTTCTCCTGCATTTATTTCTGTGTGTGGGATCTAAGGGCTAGATTATCTGCGAAGTCCAAATCGTCCAGTGTATCCCGTACTCCCCCCCCCCTCAGATGTTGACGTCTTCGTAATTTATCCAAATGACCCCATCAGGAGAATGAGAAAAGGTCGGAGTAAGCAACCTTGCCAGACATTGGTTCGATTAAAAAACGAAACAAGTGTGCCCAATTCATATAAAAGAAGTTTTGAAAAACGTCGAGTTTGGCATACTGACACAGAACAATAAGCAGCAATACTAATAATAATAATAATAATAATAATAATAATAATAATAATAATAATAATGAGGGGGATTAGAAGTTGTTTGAACCCTTGCTGATGTATACGTTAAATATATGCATATTGTTGTTACATTGTTACATTCCAGCTGCAGGATACGTCAGTCAGTCAGTTGCAACGTAGAACTTCGTACGTATGTACATAAGTTCATGTTGCCATACCACATTATTAGCACAGAGACGCAAATGTCAAAACAAATCCCATTATGATTGAGATAGTAGAGGTATTATTGTTAATAAAGAAGACTAGAGTTCGAAGATATTATTCAAAAAATATAATTCAGTGAGATAAGGTTAGAAAGACAATGGTAGAGGAGTTGACGAATCCAGAAGATTAGGATTTGAGAGAGCACAACGAATGGGTGCACTTGCGCCATTGCAAACGATTTTGAGCCATGTCATTCAAGGTCTCTAACCATTGATGACTTTCGTCTCGCGGATCCCAATCAGGTAGTCTACATCTACCAACATGACTCAGTCGACTTGTCAATGACTTCATGGATTTGTGCCATGTTTTGGTCTGGCCGCCCCTAACTTTCTTCCAACCTACTCCTACACCACAGTACATCGCCTGTCGAGGCAGTCGGTGGTTAGGCATACGCAGCACATGTCCCAACCACCTCAACTGATAAAGTTTCACCACTTCATCTATTGATCTGCCATCCTTACCTAGTACTCGTTTCCTAACGACAGCATTGCTTACTCGGCTGTCCCACGATATACGAGCAATGCTTCTTAAACATCTATGATCGAATACTAGTAACCTACGAACATCTTCTACTCTTAACGGCCATGTTTCACAGCCATATAAGAGAACGGAACGAACCGCTGCGCAGTACACCCGTCCTTTGGTTAGCGAACGGATATCACGCCTACGCCATAAGTGACGCAGGTTGGCAAAAGCCAATCGAGCTTTCTGTATCCGAGCTGAGATTTCGTCAGTCACCAGACAATCAGTACTGATGAGACTCCCCAGATAAGTGAAGTGATCAACACGCTCGACTACTTCACTCCCTATCACTAGTTCAGGTGCCAATGCAATCCAGTCTTGAAGCAACATTTTGCATTTCGAGGGGGAAAACCGCATCCCGAACATGCTCGCATTGTTGCTTATGATAGTCAGAAGACTCTGCATTTTGTCAGCGCAGGATACGTCAAAACAGGTGGTATATATATATATATATATATACATAACTTACCGAGGATTGTTTGCCTTTTCCTCGCCAACAGTAGTCATAGTGTCCTAAATAATCATGAGCAGGAAATAATATATAATCATCTGGAAGACTAAAGATTTGTGAATAGATTGAATTGTACAATGTCTCAGCTGAGCCCCACCTTGAAAATCAGTTCTACCACTACCACGAATTAAAAGTGCGTCACCAGTGAAAGCAACACCAGCAGAATGTAATACTAGCGTCATACAACCTAATGTGTGCCCTATGAAGATAATATAAGTGAATATAATAATAATAATAATAATAATAATAATAATAATAATAATAAAGTGAATGAATCATAGTAAATCCACTTTTACGAAGAGAACGTGATTGGTTTAATAGAAATATTCATTATTCGAACCAATTGTACTGAGAAGACTGAGGTAGGCGCTGAAGATTGTATTATGCAAATTTATACTCTGAGTCAAATAAAAACGAAAACATTACATTGAATATACTCTATTTGCACACCATCTTTGAGTCGTTACTTCCAACACTCCATCCTTCTTCCATTCCTGCTGTTGTCTTTACCTTTCTGTTGATACTCCATTTACTTCTTGATTTTGCTCCATTTGCTTTCCGTTTTCCTCTTCTGACTGTGAGACTTCTTCTTTCACGTCCTTTATCTTATACTACTTATATCGTTTGTATAAGTAGCACACACCACAACATGAGTCATCTAAATTTTGAGATAACAAAATTCACGTTCTTAAAGTTTCAGGCTTCTTGAGCAATGAATATCCAGATCGTGCACTGATGAGTGTGTCTGAATCTTACATTTCTGTCTGTCTTTTTTAAATAAAGAAGCATTTCATGCTGATGCTTACCAAAATATATTGCTAGAAAAGAATGAACTGTGAAAATATAAGTGAATTCTTAGTATTCTCACACCTCGATTATTGAAGTAGTTAAAGAAATAATTACACAGTTAATTATATATGTCCATCAAATAAAAATCAATAATGAGTTTTTAATACAGACACCTACCTACCTACCCGGTGTACTTCGACATTCTAATTCGAAACCAAATTTAATAATATCTCCATGACTTATTTCCTTATCAACACTAGCTCCATCATAATGTGACAATACACTGTAAGCTCCAGGAATTTGTTTTAATAATCCACTGCCAGTTACATGATCTGCATGTAAGTGAGTATTGATTATTGGACCTAATTTAAGATTTAACTGAGAGATCTGCATTACAATATAATAATAAGAAGAAGAACAAATGAATAGTTTGTTAAAATAATAACAACAGATATTCTATCATGCATGAATAAATAAAAAAAAAAACTAGGAATCAAAGATGATTGTTTAGTAATCATGCTTAGTAGTATGCTGTGTAAGAAAAAAGATGAGGCTTAGTTAGAGATTGAAAGCATAGTACTAGATAGGCAACACTAGAAAACTTTTCCGCCTTATTAAAGAAACCGGTATTAGGAACCCAAATGTTGAGTGAGACTATCTCGGAAAAGGATGGTCTTATTAGCCATTCTTATTCCAGGAGACTGGACCGATGGGCAGAAACACTTTAGGGATCAGTTCAACTGGCCTCGAGCCACATTTCGG